CCCCAAAACCCCAAAACCCCAAAACCCCTAAGATCTTTATTAAGTAATTGAATTAAAGAATTGAAATTAATCAAAGAAATTTATCCTAATAATGAGCAATTATTTCTTAAGTAAATTCATGCTGAACTTTATACCAATGCGATAGAGCTAGAGTTACACCTTTACTGCTTTCTACTTAATGCCACCAAAATGATGGCATGTATAAGCAGTCACCTTGGTCAACAAAAGCAGACATAATCTTGGCATTTTTAAATAGTGGGTATTTAGTGTAATCCGGGTCTACAAATTCTAGTGGTGAGTAATTTCTGGGTAAACCTTCATATCCATTATATACAAATGGAGTATGATGAGGGGGGACTATTGTGAAATTTTTATAGCCCTCAAAGACACATATAATATTTTCCATTGCATCAGTGTGTGGTCTTGTAAGTGTTCCAAAGCCATGCCAAAACGTTAATTGTTCTAATTCAAAATAATCCTATACGATTGGAATGTCAATTATATCCTCTTTTAATGGTCCAGGAGGATCTTCAAACGAGAAGTAATAATGATATGTTCTATTAGGATCTTAAAATGTATCTAAAAATTATGAGTATGTCATGTAAACTCTCTTTGCTCCAGCTGTAAAATAAGCAAATCTGTTATCTTTCTACTTTTCAGCATAGATAATCTCTTGCCCTGATGTTTCGTTTAAATACGACTAATTAGTCCATTTTTCAAACGCTGGCCAGATTTTTGCGTAGCCCTTAAATAAACAAGGTCTCTATTTATTGACATACTATTTAACAAAATTTTCAGGTGTTAATGTTGTGTGATCACATATTTGAACTTAGTCATCAAATTAGTATAATTGAGGATAGTCTATGAAGAATTAATTTACAGATCCGTATCCTTCATAAGCTTTGAAAGCATTATTTAACTATGTTCCAGAATTCATGCCCTCTTCAATAAAGTAAATAACGCTTATTCCGAAACTAGAAATAACAGCATATATGAGAGTAAGCTTAGACAAGCTCTTTAAGAATTCCATAGAGTGTTCTAAGAAGTTAAATTCTGAGTCAGAGGGCTTATTTGACATTTTTAATTTATTTAAAATATTACTTAGTTTTTAATGGACTGAAATATTATAGTTTTTCAAAAAAATGGAAATTTATTTTAACTTTATATTATCTTAAATTACAATAATCAGCATACATATGGGGTTTTGGGGTTTTGGGGTTTTGGGGTTTTGGGG